ATTTGAGGGGTTTTGTGTGAAGAAGATGAAGATGACATGTCATAAAAAAAAAGGTCCAGCTAAGCATCTTTTTTAAGTTGTGCCCGCCATGTCATAAAAAAAATATAAAAAATGCCATGTGGCCGAGTTAACGGCCCAAATTGACAAAAAGGATTAACGGAGTGCATTTTGTATAGTTGAGGGATAAAAAAAATGCAAAAAATTGTTAAGAGACCAAAAATATGCAACTCACTAAAGTTGAGGGACCAAATTTAACATTTAACCATGAAATTAAAGATGAAGACAATAGAACTCTCATTGTAATAATTTAATTTTATAAATGAAATTTACTTTTTCATTAAGAAATGGTTCCCAAACCACCTAGATAGTTTGGATACCTTTTTGTTTTAATTTTTTTTTATTTAAGATTTTGAATTAAAATGATATAACATAAGAAAATTCTTGAGTAGAGCAATTGCTAACTCTCCACATAAAAATACTCATAAGGAGTTTGAGGTCATCCTCCTCCCCTTTCCGATGAGCTGGGTTTCTCAACTCTTTGGTAACCTGATCCAAAAAAAAAAAAAATGATATGACATAAAAAAAAAGTACAAGAGTGTTCCTTTCATAGTGCAACATGATATAAACGAAAATGCAAAAACGCGGCGTATTGATGTAGGGCTTTCTCCCTCAACCACTCCTCCTCCCACCCCTTTCAAAATTCCGCGATCCCGTTTGCCTTGCAAATTTGCAGCCTTTGCATTCTGATTTTCTCCAGCACGAGTAAGATTTCAACCCAGATCTGGTTGCTTAATTATGCTACCATTTGCATCTCATTGTTTTAATTTTGATATTTCACAGGAAAAAAATGGATCCCAATTCAGTTAAGTCGACTCTTTCCAATTTAGCATTTGGAAATGTAATGGCAGCTGCAGCTCGTGATTACAAGAAGGTGTCATCTTTTCCTCCTCTTTAGCTAATTTTTTTCCGGCCACTTCCTTCCATTACATATTTTTGCAGCTTGTCTGTGCTGACATGATTGTTACTGTAATAAAGGAACGAAATTGAATTAAGGGTAGATGATGTTTACAAGTTCTTTTGTGTTTCCACTAGTGAAATTCTATTTAGGGTTGATGAGAAGTGGGTTTCTGGGGGCATTTTTTTGGATATGATAATTGGGTTAAGAAGGGTAGATTGATTAATGGGGTTTTTGATTTTGTAATGTCTCCATATAGCTGTTGTGTATAACCACCCCAATGATTTTGTGTTTGATATGTTTACTGTGTAAATATTTCTTAATTGTCGACTTAGTTAGCAAGGAGCAACTGGCTTGTTATGTCTACTTGCATGCAGCTAATGTATCCTGATAATGATCTTACAGGAACTTCTTTCCCAAGAAAAAGCACAGGCATCGAGTTCAAACAACGAGGAGGTTGACCTTGATGAGCTGATGGATGTAAGTTTGATAAGTGTTTCTAAGATATTTTTTGGATTAATTGTGACAAAGCATCCATACTCTGTTTTACCATTGCTCTGTCTGCTGTGATAATTTTTATGTGATTGTATCCATGGACAGGACCCTGAGTTGGAAAAATTGCATGCTGACAGGATTGCAGCTCTAAAGGTTAGAAATTCAGAATTTCGTGTTCTGTTTAGGTGGTGTGCTACTTATATCTGGATAGGCTTTCTGAAATTTGTAATCAGTACTAATCACACTATGATTTATATGAATAGAAAGAAGCTGAGAAGCGAGAAGCCTTAAAGAGGCAAGGGCATGGAGAGTACAGGGAGATAAGTGAAGGAGATTTCTTGGGTGAAGTCACTGGGAGTGAGAAAGTGGTTTGTCATTTTTACCATAAGGAGTTCTACAGATGCAAGTAAAGTATCCATCTCTCTCACATACTCACACATAAGCTGAGATACATTGGCATATCTCTATCACTCTATACAAGCACTTATGTGAACATGTATTTATATATTATCTACAAAGAAAAAAAAATCTATAAGTTGCAAGACTTATTTTGTATTGTTGATGGACAATCTAGGATAATGGATAAGCATTTGAAAGCTCTTTCACCAAAGCATCTGGATACCAAGTTCATCAAGCTGGATGCTGAGGTGAGCATTCTTGTGTTTAATTGTTACTAGAACCGGAAATAGGTTTCTCACATTTTACTTTGGTTTTTGTGACTCTGTTGCAAGCTTCAGATTCTGAATTTTTCTGGTGAATGCATAATTGTGTATGTTATGTGAGAGACTCATCTTTACAAGTAATATGCAGAATGCACCTTTCTTCATTGCCAAACTAGCAGTCAAAACTCTGCCTTGTGTCATACTTTTCAGGTACCATCTCTTCTTCTTTGTTTCTTCTTCTTCTTCCCTTTTTTTTTTTTTCTCATGCATTTTCAAATATATTGCACTGTTTGCTCAAGGAGTGGGAAGAACAAGAATTTTGAAATGACATTCATTATTCATAGTTGTTCCATTCCTGAGTTTATTTTCTATTCACTTTCTACCTAAGCTATGACAAATGAAAGCTGCAGTTGGGTTCCTAGTGACATCCCATTGAAACAAATGAAATATTAGCCAAATATAGATACCTTTTTTGAGCACGTTCTGATAAATATTGAAGTTAGAAAATATGTTTCCTTCATCATATTCACATTGACAACTTGAAATGCTCCCCCGCAGAAAGGGAATTGCAGTAGATAGATTGGTTGGGTTCCAAGATCTTGGAGGCAAAGATGATTTCACCACTAAGACACTAGAGGTTCTACTGCTAAAGAAAGGCATAATTAGTGAGAAAAAAGCTGATGAAGATGACGAAGATGATGATTATGATGAGAATAATCGCAGGACAGTGAGATCTTCTGTGAATCATGACTCTGACTCAGACTGAACAGGGAAAGAATTGCAGTTTCAGTATCAAAACTATGAGTGGTTCTTGCCATTTTGTCTGTATGAATTTTCACAAATCATAATTGCACTTGTTGTCTCTAAGATGTACATTATGCAAAAACTGAGTCAAGTAGTATCCTGTGAAAGTGCGAATTGTGTCCTTTGCTGAGCATTTAGCACCAGTAATTGAAGTGTGTTGGCTTGATGACGTTGGGTCATCACAACGGCCATTTAGGTTCTTGGTCCTATCGGGAAGGAAATGAATTTGACCACCAACAACATGCACTCTCTAGCAAGTTGTATAAACGATTTTGTTTATGTATTCTGTCATGGAACATTCAGGGCTACTAGTATCCAATGTTAATCTCATTGCTTACAAGTTACAATTTGAAAGGGATCGATCTACTAGTAAGTATCATTCTATATATCAACGGGTTAATACTTAAGAAAATTTGTTTTCTTAAATAAAGTAGGCTGATGTCGGGGTACTCTTTTAAGATTGCGCAGAGGAATTAGATGAATTAGTCTCAAGCTGTGTGAAAATTAACTTAGAAACTCTCTAATTATAAATTTTAAAAAAATCTTACATTGTTTACTTTTGAAATTTTCATTTCCTTAATGATTATTTCGGATGATTGTTTGACAACATAAGGTGATAATAGCTTTTTTTATTTTATTTTATTTTATTTTTACATTAAAGAGTTAACTGTTTGACAATATAAAAATTTATAGGTCATTTAAATTAATTTTTTAAAAATAATTAATAATTAATATCTAAAAATTATTTCATTATAACCAACTCACTTGGTAACTAATTTCAAAAACTCAAAACCAACACCCCTTTATACATCTAATCTTAACCTTCATTTTTTCCAAAAAAAAAAAAAAAAAATCTTAACCTTAATTCAAGATTTTTAAGAACTGATATGAATATGCATCTAGTCAATGATAGTCTATCCTTTTCTTTTTTTTTATCTTGGTTGCACAATAGGGGAGATAATCATTTCTTATCTCTTATGATACTTGACCCGTATATCATGCAACTCGAAATCAAAATCTCTTATTTTCAATGAAAAAAGATGACTACTGAATTATTTAGATAATTAGCTGTTTAATACCACAAATTGTAAAATTTCTTAGGCTTATCGAAGAACATTAATGGGCCACATCCATTTGTGTTCAGTTAACGGACCTAGTACGGTTATCCAAATAAAAGCATTTTTGCCGGGAAAACAGGAAGAGACGTTAGACTGATGATGATCTGTTAGGAAGGATTTTGAACGGACTGGACTTGCGTTTCGCCGGCCATCACAGAGCCATAGCTAAAAACGCCATGGCCGTTGAGACTTGGTCAAGCTCACCATGAAACCACACCCAAAGGTACAATCTTTTCTTCCTTCTAACAAATCCCAACATGCTAAATGAGCATAATGTTTGGCGGCTTGTGTCCGCCCGCCATTTTCGAAGGATTCCCAAAAAGTATCCGGTGTCTTATATTACCCACCGTCGAATCCCCTTTTCCACTTTTCAGAGGTATTTCCCCCAAACCCAATATCTCTCTCTTTTCGTTTACTGGGTTTCAATCTTTGGTCTTGATTTTGGCTATGTACAATCTTCCCTCGTACTGGGTTTTTTTTATTGTAGGAGTTTGAATTGGCCTATTGGTCGTTTGATGGGATTCTGATTGTTGGTGGGAATTTTGCAGGCATTTGGGCCTTGGCTCTGGAACGTGATATGAGTGCTTGATCTGCCCTTTACTGTCGAACCTATCCAAAATCGGAGAAAACGGATACCCATGTCTGGAACTGTATCTTTCAACCCAGGTGATCTTCCATATCAATACCCAGTACCCACAATTGTACTTTGAATTTTTCTTTTTCAGTTTAGATATTATGTATCTGTGTTCATGTTCAAGATTCATGTGTTGCTAACCTTCAAGATTAGAAGAAATAAAAAATGCAGTTTGTTGTTTGTAGCTCAGGTTGGATAGTTAATGTTGATTTTTTTCTTTTTTTTTTTGATAGCATCTGATGCTAATGTCTCCGAGAGAATGGGATCTTTTAGGAAGAAAACACTGAATGCCTCTGGTAAGTCCAGGTATTCTTTGAATAGAAGAGGTAGGAGAAGCAGTAAAGTGATGTCTTTGGAAATAGAAGACGAGCATGATGCTGAAGAGTTGCAGGCGGTTGACGCTTTGCGTCAAGCGCTTATATTGGATGAACTATTGCCAGAAAAGCATGATGATTATCATTTGTTACTCAGGTTACTTCCTCTCCTGTGCTGTTTCCCGAATTGTCGATAAATGAAGGGTTCCAATTCTGCTTCCTGGCTTTTGTATTTCATAGCAGAACCTTTTTTTTTTTTTCTTTTTAATTTTTTTTATTTCTCTATCTTTTGTCCAAATGCCAAATTGAACTTCATTATAGCTCCTTTAGATGGCAAAGCCCTTAGACAAGTTGATACTTGTACATGGGCTTGTTAACCTCTAAGTTTAACCTTTGATTACACAGATTTTTGAGGGCTAGGAAATTTGACATTGAGAAAACAAAGCAGATGTGGTCTGATATGCTTCAGTGGAGAAAAGAATTTGGTGCTGACACAATAGTGGAGGTATCTTCTTCCAGGAAATGACTTTCTGATGCTATGGAATTATGCCTCTTTTTTTTTCCCTTTTGGAATTGCTCCTCTGGCTGAGCTTCATTCTGACACTTCTGCTCTTTGTTTAAGGACTTTGAATTCAAGGAATATGATGAAGTTGTGAAATACTATCCCCATGGGCACCATGGGGTAGATAAAGATGGACAACCAGTATACATTGAGAGGCTTGGGGCAGTGGATCCCACAAAGCTCATGCAAGTAACAACCATGGACCGTTATATCAGATACCATGTGAAGGAGTTTGAGAGGACCTTTGCTGATAAGTTTCCAGCTTGTTCAATTGCAGCAAGGAGGCAAATCGATCAAAGTACAACCATCTTGGATGTGCAAGGAGTGGTAAGTGTCAACAATTGTCACTACTTTGACAAAATTTGACTAAGGCTATAATGCTTTGAGATGACTAAAGCTATCTTTAAAAATCACACAGACAGAATAAGAAGTACTATAAATCCCTTGGTGACTTCAACTTCCTTCTTCCCTTACCTTCTTTCCATTTTTGATTGGCAAAAATGACATTTGTATTTGAGAACCTTTCTTAAATAAATTAATCCTACAGGGTCTTAAAAACTTTAACAAGTCTGCAAGGGAACTTATCACTCGTCTTCAGAAGATTGATGGTGATAATTATCCTGAGGTACTAATCTCTTTAGTGTGGTTCTGCTTCTCTTACCATCTTACTGTTCTTGATTACTTAAGAACTGACTGGTGTTTGGTGTATTTCATCCATGACTTCCAACTGTAGGCAGCAGTTTTATAATACTATGCAAATTCTTGTTTTTCTGCAGACCTTGAACCGCATGTTCATCATCAATGCAGGTTCTGGTTTTAGAATGTTGTGGAACACTGTTAAGAGTTTTCTTGATCCTAAGACCACAGCCAAGATCCATGTAAGTACAGACAATTCTAAACTGAATTTGCTAGTTTTCATCAGAAGAATATGGTTAATTGTTGAAATCTATTATTCACCAGGTGCTTAGCAATAAGTTCCAGCCCAAGTTGCTTGAAATAATTGATGCTAGGTAAGTCTGCTCAATAATATTATCTTAATATTTTTCTTACTCTGTTTGGCAACCCTGGGTATCCTTCATATCCCTTCTCAGAGAGAATGAAAAATTTTGACTTATGTTGTCATCAAGCAGTTACTTGTACTGATTCATATAATTTATGTATATATGCATTTACTTTTACTATTGTTAAGCATGTCTGAGAGGCCTTTTTATATTGATTTTACTAATTTTGCCTTTTTGGTGGTCCGGCTGATAAAAGTGAGTTGCCAGACTTTTTAGGAGGTACTTGTACCTGTGCTGAGCATGGAGGCTGCATGCTTTCTGATAAGGGCCCGTGGAAGGACCCAGAGATCATGAAGGTGACTATCAAGCTCTTATTTATCTATTTATTTCTTCTTCTTTTCATTCTAATCAGATTGATTATCTACTTCTGTTTGTCCTCTAGTACCAGATTGTAACTGGCTTTTGGACTTGCAGATGGTTCGAAATGGTGAACATAAATGTTCCAAGAGATCTCAGACTGAAAGCACTGAAGAGAAAACAATTTCTGAGGCTGATGTTGTCTACTCAAAGGTTTCAATTTATCTGCATGCTAATTATCTAGTTGTCTGGTTTTCCACTTCTTGTTATTGTTTGACTGACTATAGTGTATACTTTTATACAGCCTACTCAGGCTTGTGACTCTTCTGACATGGTAATTCCAGCTGTAGAGGTCCTGCGATCTATCTCATCTAGACTTTCCAGGAAACATATAGAGCATCCGGAATTCTCTCCTGTTAAAGAAAAAGTAAGAATACCAGGCTTCTTACTCAATCTTCTTCTTAGAGGTTTCAGATAAAGCACTAAGATTGGCCAATTCTTATCTAGATGTTAAATCCAATTTAGTGGTGCTATCATTTAGCCATGAGTTGAATAATAATCAACTTGCAATAGTTGTAAAATACATAAGCAAAAACGACATATTGGTCAATGTTTTTACTTTTTCCATAGCAAATGCACATATCTTGTGTAACATTGTAAAAATGTCCTTCTACCGCTAGAGTCCAGAGTCCTCTGCCTTCTGATGCCTGGCAGCAAGGAGTTTAGGAACATCAGAAATTTAAAGTTGCATTTCTTTTTTTATTATTTTCAGTCATGCTTTTCTTTCAAAGTAATATCTTAAAATTTTAAGGTTATAAGAAAGTTGTAGAGCATGCTAACCCCATGAAGTACGCCAGTTTTTACATTTCCATTGTTCTCTGATTATTTTGTTTCCTTGGTTCCTCTTCTTCCTTTTTTCCTTTTCAATGTCAAAGTTTTAATATTTTTTTCCTTACCTTTTTTTTTTCTTGTTTGATCTTGAAACATGGCAGATTCCATTTGGCCAACTTTGCCGTAAGTCCATGAATTATGACACGGTCCAAGTGGTTGATAAAAATGTGGATTCAGCATGGCGAAAAGTGCTAGAGAAAAACATACATAACCTTCCAAAAGGTAAATGGCCTACTTACCATGTTACTAATCATCTATTAAGATTAACAAATCTCCATGATGCACTGTTATGTGTTGAAGAAAGCAAAGGCAACCAGATTAATTTGGGCAATAAGTACCCAGACATATCTGTTCCCTGTTGCAAAAGTGCTGCAGAAGTTTGTTGTTTCTATTAACTGTAAACTAGAAAGACTGGGCTGATAAATGATACCAGGACTACAATAAGACATTTAAGCCATGGTTTGATTTTGTAGCTTAAGCTCAAAGTATAGCAGAGAGAGACTATTTAGCACACTCCTCAAATCCACTTCAATGTTATGATCCTCTCAGATATCTGAAGTTAAGGATAGAGTATAAAAGAGAAATAAGGCTGTTTAAAGATCTAAAAAAAGTTAGGATACAAGCCACTGCACTGATATCATAACTTGCCAAGAGAAAATGATTGGAAGTGTGTAATGAAGTAATTCCCTCCAATTTTCATTTAATCTTCTGGGTTTTTAATTAGCCAGTTGCATTTATAATTGTCATCTCATCTTGGGTCCTTCACTAAGAATTTATTGCACCATGTTATGCATGTTTACCATAGTCTGAAAAATCTCACTGATGAGTGTCTTAAGTTTCTGTTTCCTGATTCCTTGTAAATAAAATAGTGGTATATCAAAATTATTGTGCATTGTAAGGTTTCTATCACTTGCAATGGCAGATGGTCTTGCACTTCAAGATTACAAGATTCCCGATGGGCTCAGCAATCATCTTTTGACTGGTGTTATGACCTTCGTTATGGGCATTGTCACCATGATCCGAGTGACCAGGAACATGCCTAGGAAGCGCACTGAAGCCAACATCTATTCCAACTCTCGTTACTGTGTTGATGCGGATGTTAAGAGCTATGGCCCATCATCCAAATCTCAACCTGGTGCTTCTAAGGAGGATTACATGGCTGTCCTTAAACGAATGGCTGAACTAGAAGAGAAGATGAGTACTTTTAACATGATACGTGCAGTAATGCCACCTGAGAAGGATGAACTTTTGAGCACTGCAATAAGCCGGGTTGAAACCTTGGAGCAAGAGCTTATGGCAACCAAGAAGGTAAGTATTATCTCATGGTCATAAAATATATACCACACAATCAAACAGAATAGTAAAAGCTCCAACTGGGAAAAAATGATTTCTACCATCTTAATCCACGTTTTCTCTGTAGATCATCGTGGACAAGGACTTATTTTCTGTTTGTTGCTACAATCAATTTTTTCTCTTA